GGAAAGAAAGAACTAACTATGAAAGAACTAGGTTATTGTCTTTCAAGGAATTTTTTTCATAACAGCTGCATCATAAAGATGGTCCACTAGACCTCTACAGCAGCTGAAACGGTTGCAACTACGAAAAAAGTACCATAGTCTCCTGTGATGATGTACGGTATGATGTAATATCCGGAATTGTCTTGCTCTCTGTCCCATTTCAGCGATGACCCCTGCGGTAAAGCACTGTACATACGCGGTCGCGTGCTGAAACTTATTTTTTTGAATAATTTAGCAAAAACGAAGATGTTAAATATGTTCAGGATTATGCATATGGCATATGTGCAACAGAAAAAAGGAATTTCGTTTTTCTTCTAAACTGAGACAGCTAAATTCTTTGGGGGTTCATCATTTGCAGAAAACGCTTCGACTGCCTTGTTTGAGCTAATGTATTCGTGGGCTTGTAAAGCCTTTCCAGAAACCCCCTTACAATGCTTTTTTTTTGTTGAAGAAAATGTAGTTCTCGTTGTACTGTTCTGAAATGAAATTATGGAAGTTCGTAGAGTGGTGGGTGACTCAGTTTTTTCATCTCTTTTCGGGAAAGTTTATTGTTCTATTCTATTTAGCTAACAAGTTCGGATCGCAAAAAGCAAATTTTTCGCAAACAACCACGTCTGTTTGTACAGCTTACAAAACGAAGCCCGTTGGGTCCTGACATCCTTCGCCACCCTCATCCGAGCCTACATTATTCATGAGTTTCAGCAACAGCACCAGACATGCTATTCAATATTTTGTTTTGTACAATACCTATCAATAATACTAGCAGCAATATTACTGGTTTTGCAAATAAGGCGAATTAAACGGTGCTGTGGGACCAATGGCCTTTTGTACTTCGGAATCGCCTGTATGCACAGTACTTATGTAAAAAGTGATGAGTGGAATGTAAGAACTCAGTGAGACATTAAAAAATTAGACTTTGTCCTCAGCATGCATGCAAACCTCAAAACGATTTCAAAATTTTTTCTTGAAAAGATCTCGGCGCTTTCAAAAATTTTTTTAAATTGATTTACCGAAGCCTTTTCGAGGAATTTTATAAAGTATAATACATAAATACATACGCGTTTGTATGTGAGAGATTGTTCATGTATGTGCGTATATGCATGCTGTGCATGTTTATTACTATGTGTATGCATATATAAAATAAGTATCTATGCATTTGCATTAGTGTGTGTATGAGTGAACTTATGCATATTTTTGTATATGTGAGTTTGTATGTGCTTATGTGTATGTAGGTTTGTGTGTGTTTGTGTATGTGTATGTGGGTTCGTGTGTGTTTATGTGTGTGTATGTATTTTTGTATGTATGGGAGTTTATTTGCCCGTGCGTGTACGTGTCTGTCTTTAATATTTGTACTCAGAACACACAATCATCACTCACTCTTTTGTTCATAAAAAATAGTCAGTCATGTGCTCTCCTAACGTTTTTTTCCAAAAAAAACAGTCAGTCATTTTTTTTTCCAAAAAAACAAAAATTAATAAAGTGTATAGTGCTTAAATTCCTGAAAACAATTTTCCTCGAAAGCGT